AGACAAATGCGTGGTCATGATGATGTCTCTGCAACTACTTTGATTCCAGGCTCTTGGGCTGCTTGGATCTGATGCCATTGCACTCATTTTTGTAATCAATGTAAATTATACTATCCAGATCTAACTAATACCATGGTGATTGCTCCTTTACTTACCAACAGCCAAGCACTACAGCCACAGGATTTTTCTGAATGTTTTGCAAAATCCTTGTACAAAACAGATTATGTTCCCTCCTATGTTAGAGAATTCTTTGAACAGGCACCTTAAAATCAGCCAGCCCACAGAGACTATTGATACAAAGCAACCTTTCCTGCTACATCTCAAGCTTGCCTGCTGCGTCTCAGTGCCTTCTCCTGTGGATTTAATAACCTAGAGGAATTTCTTTTGAAATAAACTGTGCATGTCTGCCTGACCTCCCTCAAATAAATAATTCAGGTAGGTTGGAGTGCTAATTTGGGAAAATTACAGAGACTATATCAAAAGGAATATAAAAAATTTAACCTTTTTTTCCTGTGTTTGCCACATTCATTGTAACCACTGTTTTAAGGCTCAAAATGACTGACCCACAGACAGAGAATATGAGACCAGAGGCATTGGCTGGCCCACTTAGTCCCTAAGAAGGATCACAGCTTCCAAAAAGTTATGAAGATAATTATTAGTTAACCGACATGATGAAGCCTAGAGATTAAAAATATATCCTTAATGGATTGTGTCCAAAAGATTATTGCCAGAAAGACAGGCATAAAACTACAACACTGTTCAAGCTCAAAATTAGTTTTTAATAATACTAAAGTTTTCTGAGGGGAATGAATGAGATATTTTGGTATGTCCTCAGGCTCAGATTTTCTGGTTACAGAGTCTAGTATTATTCCCAAAACTTCCAGTTTTCTTATTCTGGGATAATTTGTTATATACTTGTACAAAACAGTGAAGAAGCTCTTAAATTTAGGAGAGATATGGTTTGCTAAAAGAAAAAAAAAATAGTAAAAAACAAAATAGAGTGTTTATAAGATTTTTAAGATTTCTGGCAAATCTGACACCCAAGAGGGAAGGGATGCCATCCAGAGGGACCTTGACAGGCTGGAGAGGTGGGCCAGTGCAAGCCTCATGGAGTTCAACAAGACCAAGTGCAGGGTCCTGCACCTGGGTTGGCACAACCCCAGGCACAAATACAGACTGGGGTGAGGATGGCTGGAGAGCAGCCCTGAGGAGAAGGACTTGGGGGTGATTGTAGCTGAGAAGCTCAACATGAGCCGCCAGTGTGTGCTGGAGCCCAGAGAGCCAGTTGTGCCCTGGGCTGCATCAAAAGAAGTGTGGCCAGCAGGGCCAGGGAGGGGATTCTGCCCCTCTGCTCTGCTCTGGTGAGACCCCACCTGGAGCACTGTGTACAGCTCTGGTGCCCTCAGCACAGGAAAGACATGGAGCTGCTGGAGAGGGTCCAGAGAAGAGCCACAAAGAAGGTCTGAAGGTTGGAGTACCCCTGCTGTGAAGACAGGCTGAGAGAGTTCAGACTGTTCAGCTTGGAGAAGAGAAGGCTCTGGAAGAACTTACAGTGGCCTTGCAGTGCTTGAAAGGGGGTACAGTAAAGCTGGGGAGGAACTTTTCACCAGAGAGGGCAGTGATAGGATAAGGGGTGATGATTTTATACTGGAAGAGGGTGGATTTATTTTAGACATCAAGAAGAAATTCTTCACCATAAGGGTAGGAAGGTACTGGAATAGGTTGCTCAGGAAGGTTGTGGAAGCCCCTTCCCTGGAAGTGTTCAAGGCCAGGTTGAATGAGACCTTGTGCAGCCTGGCCTAGTGTGAGGTGTCCCTGCTCATGGCAGGGCGGTCAGAACCTGATGATCTTTAAGGTCTCTTCCAACCTTAACCATTCCATTATTCTATTATTCTAAGTAATGTGGAAATAGTTACAGTATTATTCTATTCCCAGAAAGCTATGGAAAATGTTGACTGCTGATGTTGACAGTGAATTGAACTGAAAAGTCATCTACATCATCTAGATCTTGTTTGTGGAACACTACAGCTGAACAAGTAGTTAATGACCATTTTGAATTTGGTGGTACTTACAGTATTTTTCAGTTTTGTCTGTTGTTTTGGGGTTTGTTTGTTTGTTTGTTTGTTTAGTGCTCTGACAATTATTATTGGTGTGCCAAACAGAGAGCTCTTAAGAAGGAATAGCTTTCTCAGGGGCAACAAGCTTGACTTTTTTCTATTTTTTCCCCCAAATTATGTCAATTTTAAGGTAAAGTGAAAGGATTAGACTAAGAAATACTTGGTAGTGTTTATAGTTGCATAAACTGCATTAATGCTGAATCCTTAGATATTTTTTTTTGTCTGAGTGCTAACATCAAAATTCTAAATTTGGTTCCAAATTTTCTATTTAGAATAGTGGAAGGAAACTAAAGACAATAGTGACACTGCACATCATGCACAATTGATTCTTCTGCATTGCATTTATGATTCTCTATCTTACAAGGTTTAACTGGAATTACTTTTGGCTTGTACCATGACAAATGAGAGAAAAATTAAGCCAATAGATGAGATCTCTGTGTTTTCATTTCCATCTCCAGCATCAGAAATTAGAAGCCAGCAATATATATTGCCTGACAAAGGCTCTCAAAGGAAAAAAAATTATTGTCTACAGTAAAGTGTAGTACCTCTGGGAACAAGAAGGCATAGCTGAGTATTAGTAAAGACTTCAGATATATGTGAAAGGGCATTACTTTTTAAAGAGAAGCAGCAGTGATGTGAATAACTGTGTATTAGTAGAGTACAAGCTGTCATGAGTCTGGCCAAGCAAACCCCAGGGAAGCAGAAGTAGTATTAACTGAGGAAATGCTGTTTCTTATTAAAAAGTTGAATCAATCTTTCGATGGATGAAGCTTCTTGTAACATACCATAGTCTATTTTCTAAGTTTTGTCACACAGTGCAAAGTCATATTTATTGTATGGCAGAACATACAGAAGTGATGCATAAAACAGTGAAAGATCTTGGACAACTTTGCAGTAGTAAGTCTAGATAGGTAACTGAATAAAGCATTTACCTTTTAAGATTAAGCACCTGTTAGACAATGTTCAGGGAACTGTTGGAGAAATACTTCAGTGATGATAGATTCCAAATGAAAGCTTTTGAACAGTAAGTTTGTCTTTTAGATCTTAAAGTATTTTTATATCAATTGGCTGTCATTTCAGAGCTCATGTACAAAAAAATCAATATATTCTTTTATCAGTTTGTTACAAGCTGTGGGAGAATATTCAGGGCATCATTCTCTTGGAAATACACGAGGGTAATAGAATACAGAACTCAGCTTGGTAAGATATAATAATAATTAAAAAAATATATAAATTACCCTGTTTCAAAAGAATATTCACTTGCGTTTAGAAAAGTAGCATTTTGTTTATTTTGCTGTGAGAAGTTGAGGGCTCTTTATTATTTGTCCAGACACTTTGGGGATGCATAGACATCTGGAAGAAAAATACCCGTCATTAGAATTTCAGAGATTTGTGTTCAGATAACATAGGCTCTTCTTATCTTTATGACACACATTTTTTACATTGAACTTGGAGGGTTTTATTTCTTCTTGAGTAAATAGCAGTTTCAGGTATAATATTTTAAGTAATGAGCAACCAGCTCATTCTCCTGTCTGAAGAGAGGGGTGGAGATTGTGTGCGTGTAAAAAATAAGAACACTCCTTTCAGTGTACCTACACCTAATTTAAAATGGCAAGATATTTGTGTTGCCTCAAATGCAGATTAGATAGATGAGTTGAATCCCTCTGTTTTTTTTGCTAGACCAAGTTTTCATCTGTTATCTTCTCTGCCTGTGTGCATATGTTTGCATATATATTTATCTCTACACAAATATGTATATCAAGTCCAAGACAAATTAGAAATTCTTCTTCTAATAATGTAATAATACAACGTTCAATGTATTTCTTCAGTAAATTTTAAGTAATGGTTTTTGTTTTATTAGGTATTAGTTCCTATTAGCAACTCCCAGTTTTAGACATTACTTTCTAAGAATCTCCATATTTTATAGTACAAATTAAACCTAGAGACAATTTCTAATAAACTTGCTTTTCTCGTTTAGTAGTATCTTCTGTTGCATTTGTGGTAACATTAAGAACTTTTTATCAATGTCTCTGAAAGACCTTCTCTGAAATTCCTTTCAATCTTCCCATTCTCTCAGATTCTAAATCTGTCAAGTTGGTTAACTAGTCACCATTTAAAAGCCATGTTTTATACTCTAGGGTTGTACCAGAATAATTAAAAATTAAAAGCTTTCTTTAAAATTAACTTAATTAAATGCAAATTTCATGTGAACGTTTCATCCATTGCATCTAAATCATTCCATGTGGGAGTAAGCATAATCTGAAATAATGACTTTCTGTAAAAATATTATCAAGCACTGTTTGATTGTCTTTGAACACACCATGTCATCATCAGTTATTCATAATTTACTCAGTACTCTTATTCATTTACTATTTACTTTTAGATCTTCTCTTATAAAGCATCATTACTTTTTCCTTCCTACACACTTAAGTTCATTCACATGAATACAAAACTACTCATTGTTGAATATTTTGGGGGTTTACTATCTTTTCTATCTTTATGGTATCCAAGCATCTCTGATTCAGTTGCTAGTGAGTGGTTGGATTGGTAGAATAGATGGTAGGTATTCTGTTTATCAGTGCCTTTTAGCATGAAAGGTAAAAAATATGCTGATCCATGTTGAGATCTATGTGCTTTCCATTGAAATGTGAAGCTTTTTTCTGTTGTTCCTCATTTCTGGAACTTGTTATAATGGTTGTCTTCTGTAATGATTGTCTGCTTTTCCCATCTTCACAGCCTTCTTCATAGTACTTTTATTTTTCAGGTTGCACATTCAAGTTAGTGATATGGCCATTGCTCCAGTCAGTCGTGTTCACTGTATATGAGCTAGTTGCAAACATAGAAAATGACGTAAATTTTACTCTTTTGTTTGTTTTGAATTAGGCTCATGCACAGTTAGTTCGAGAAGTCGATGTAGAGAAGGTGTCAACTTTTGAGAACCCATATGTAGATGCAATAAGAAGCTTATGGAATGACCCTGGAATTCAGGAGTGTTACGATAGACGACGGGAGTATCAGTTATCAGATTCCACCAAATAGTAAGTACCTGGTGGCCACAATTAATGATCTAATTTTGTGTTCCTAACAAACTAATTTTTACTTTTTAGCTTTTACACTGTATGTCTGTGTACGTTTTAGTATGCGTAGGCAGCACAAACATACCTGAATACACTAAAATAAATTGAATTCAGAGGGTGCTTCGAGGAGTGGAATACATCTAGTTTGGGATTACATCTCTGTTTGTTACACAGAATGACAGTCTGTGATCATTTGACAGTTTAAAGTAAGATTCTAACTAGGGACAGTTAATCACTGACGTTTATGTTTACTTTTTATTATACCTGTTCAAACCTCTCAAAAACAAGCTTTCATGTAGTACTACAGTAGCAAATACTGGGAAGTGTAATCACAAAGTAGACCTCCATGATATTTTCCCAAGTTTTCCCCTTTTCCTTCATAGATTACTTTTGCAGTCCCCTTTTTGAGATAAATAGTACTAAACAAGGGTTCGTGTATTTTATGTGTCTTGTATGCCTGCTTGAGAGGGTAAAAATAGAATTAATTACTTTCCAAAGCAGAATATAATACTCTGATTGTAGTTCAGGTCAGATTGTGCTGAATACCATAGTTTTGACCTAGTTCTAGTGAAATTGTCACCATAGTTGATTTTTTTAAATACTATTAAAAATAGGGGGGGGATAATTAATTAGCTAGCTATAGGAGCAAATTCCCAGTACGTTGCCTTGCAAAATATAAATGTGTTAGTTCATTGGTTATTTTTCAACATGCATAGCAGTTTAGCATGAGCTTTTGCAGATTTGGTGACTTTAGATTACCATCTATTATAGTTCACACAACGGATTTCTGCAAAATCTGTTCTAAATTAGAATTGTGAATTACTGCATTGAGTCTTTAGAAGATCCTCTTGTGTATGCTTGCAAGTAGGGTTTTTATCAGGTATGTAAGTCCAGTAAATAAATAAAAATGTTTTGGTGTCCACTAGATCTCTTGTAAGCATATATGTCAGTATTTTTAAGTGTATATGTCAATATGTCATATGTTCTTCATTCATCCCTTGGATGAGCCTCTCATTTTGTCACTAGTTTCCTGTGTGTTTTTATAGTGCTAATATTTTCAGTCTGTTCCCTGTATTACTTCTTTTTGCTTGTCAGTGTTATTATACATAGTTCAGTGTTCCTTAATACCTTCCTTTTTCTTTTCTGTTTCTTTTATTGTTTCTGAATTCTGTTTCTGATTTCAAGTATATCCTCTGTGTTTCTATATTTGCACCTTCTGTCAACTTTTGACTGGCTTTGTCATTGCTAGATACATTTTTGATGTTCTTATACCTGCTGCTAGTACCCTGGAAGATTATGTCAGATGAGTGTCTATGAGAAGAGATGAGGGTAGGGCCTACAGAAGAAAATTTCAGCATCATGGGAGTTAATTTGAACCTCTTGGAGACTCAGCAAATGCATTCAGTTCTCTTCTTTTGCCACTGGATGCTCCAAAGCTTGGGTGTTCACGTTGTTTTTAAAAACAATTTCTAGACTTCTCTGTGGTAAAGCTAAGAGCACATCACATAAACAGAGATTATTCACCTCTCATATACAGTACAGGGTGACTTAGCCACTCACCACTAAACCACTTTTATCTTTAAGATACTTTTCATAGTGTGAGACAGACGTAAACCACCACCTCACTGTAGATTAGCTTAAGTAGTAGCTGTGTGACATGAGACCATTCAACACATAGGATATAGGTTGTCAAGACCATAAGTCCAAATATCACAGCTTTTCAAAGCCTGAGGAAAGGAGAGGCAGCAGTCTTACTGTTGTCAATAAGAGAAACAGTTATTGGAAGTAACATTTCACATCTATGCGACAACTTGCAGAATCTGAGTTGCAGCTAGAAGTTGTGGAGTCTTATTATTACTTCTCCCCAATATGACAATGAAAACTTTCCATTCATGAGGAAAATGTGGGATGTGTTTGGTGCTGAAAAGTGTCCCAGAGCCTTACTGAAAAGCTTTGTCTTTCTCTGGCCCCATGAAATGGAATTATGATGTCATTGTTTACCTCCAAGGAAGGTCTTTCTAATTACTTCACAAGCATTGAGGATATCTGTTTAGTTTCCCTTCCATGGCTGTGTTTTCTAACACATCAGATAATTAAATATAATTTATTCTTTCTCACCTTTATTTGTAAAAACATAATTCAGGGTTCTCAAGCTGTGTTTGGGAGCAATTTGTGCTGCAGAATGGTAGATTCTGCTTTTGTATATTCAGTTTATACAGCCTGACTTATGTAGGATTTGAAGGCAGATGAAAACAGCAAAAATGAAATTCTGAAGTTTATGATCAAGCATCAGAATCACGCTAACCCTCTCTTACACCTTAATCATGGTCCTCAAATATAAAAGAAAGGTTTGAAGAAAGGTGGGACATGAAATCTGTTGCATACCAAAAAGCACTGCATCCTATAGATAAACTGAAGATTATGCAACATAACTAGGGAAATTTAGAAAGGGAAGTGGGGTTATATAAAAAGTATACAATATACATTTGTTTCAGGATCCTTTTCTTCGTGCAGTACTGAAAATGTTTTTAATATCTGTATAATTTTTAAACCTCATTTCCTATTAAGAAAAGTTTCCACAATAATTTTTTTATTTTTTAATTTAATAATTTTTTAAGGCTTTGCTTGGGCTTTCTTTCAGCCACATAGGAAATTGAGAGAGATACCTAGGTAGGATTTGGGCGGGGTAAGGATAAAAAGAACACAGTTCAGACTTCTTCCTACCTCACTGCAGAGATCTTAGGTTTACTGTGTTTTAGATTAAGTGTAGAGTGTTCTGGAAAACTGCAAAGTAGCCTCAACTTCTCACCAGTGGTGTATAGGCTCAGAAATGCAAACTGTTACAGAAATTCTGCCTCCTAGCTTTGTTCGCAGCTCATTTTTGTACACCAAAAATTGATTAAATTTACTGTGTTGCCAAATGTTAGCAAAAAAAATATTTGTGTCAATTACTCTGGCAGCTCCCTTAAGTAGGAAAAATCCTGCTACAGCAACATTAACATTTTGCATATATGGAGCTGAAAGACAAGGAAATTTTATGCATTTTCAAAAATGCAGAAGAAAGGTTTTCTCTTTGAATGCTTGTTTCCCAACATGTCGTCAAAATTACTGCTAGTTCAGGGTAGTCTCATCAGTCAGTTCAGAGTTTTGCAAAACAAGCAAACTCCAACTCCCCAAAACCACACCAAACCCCAACAGACCAATGGAGGATAGCCCCAATTCCAGAATAGCCAGGCTCCAAAGGACAGAGAAATATAAAATTTACTGAATAGTTTGTCCAATTAGCCTTAGCCCTAGACTTTGATTAGGGATTTATTTTCACTTCCACCGCCACTGTCTGAGAG